ATAGCCGGACACATACATTATTTTTAATCTCTCTAGATCACCTGCCTAATTTTGTACAGTTGGGGGGGGGGGCGAAAAATTTACAAATTCCTTTTCTTAGGAACACGTACAGGATTCGTCACTACAAAAAGGATAATGGTAACCCCACCATTCACTACTTCATTTATGAAATTCTCCCAATTATTTAGGCTAATTCACTATAATTTATTGTTCACATGGTAATGAGAGTCTTCAACTGATTGCCAAATTCCATATAAGCGGCTGAATTTTTTTTTTTTTCAGTTTTTAACATCAATCTTGTTTTCATAAAAAATTTAACCCTTTGGCAGAGTTTTGTAGATGTGGTGCAAGGAAAGAAGGTCGAACATAATGATAATGTAAGTTCATCTATTTGTAGACTAACTTTTACATGTTTTTGCTGAAATGACAACTTTTATGTTATTTTTTTCATTGCTAATTGCCAATTCAACATCATTACTAATTTACTATCTTATTACTATTTCTTCTGAGGTTCATGAATTGGATGTTTCTGGTGACATATTTGAAAGTAAAACATTTCGTTTTGAATTTTCTATGCTTGAAATGGCTTATGAGACATAGAATGGCGTGAAAGTGCGGTACGTGATCGACTTATTGAAGGAAAATAATGAAATTTTCAAATGCTTTGAAGGTAATGCATTCAGTACCTAACCCAGCTAAATTACCTTTTAACATATATATTTAATTTCATTTTCATGTGTTTGTGGTTGTTTATATCTAATGTTATCTATGCTTTCTGCTGGAAATGGAAAAAATTTCTTAGGGTGGAAATTAAAAATAGTTAGTTGACATCTTTACAGCCGCATAACTCAAGTTATATATATCCAAATCAGTTCATTCTTGACTCAAACATGCAGTCGAATGCGAGAGGAAGGTGCAGCAACTTGATTCAAGTTAATTGGAGATCGCATGTGAAAGTTACAACTGTTTAAAGTTGGCTGCATGGTACGTTTTTGTGTTGTCAAAAACTAATATTATAAGTTTTGTTGACTTTTTGTATTTAATTGATGCAAAAATAATAGTTAAAAACAGTGGAAACTGTGATTTTTAATGTTTGCAATTCGTAACGGATGCCATACGTGCGTTTTTCAAGGAATTGTTCAAGGAAGGAATGGAATTGCTTGAGATTCCTGCTTCAAATATTCAAGGAAGGAATGGAATTGTTCATTCCGTTGCGAGATGGAATGGAATGGACCATTTTGTTCTTCGTATTTTGTTAATTTTCCATTATTTACTGACTAAATGTTTTTTTTTTCATTTTCATTGTCTCATTAAACGTAGAAATTATTTCCAGCTTTCTGTTTCCAAACATTATTCAAGGTAGCACCAACGGCATCCCTGCCTCTAATACATTTCTATGTTTTTTACCAAAATATAACACATCGCCATTACGTGCATTTTTCATTTTTAGGTGTTAAATGCACTAACATAGCAATATACTTTGCCTTTGCACCTTTTTTCTGTTTTTTTAAATTTGTTTTGATTTTTTACCAATAACCGACAATGCATACCAATGTACTTATCAAAAACCAAAGTACATTGCTATTTCATGCATTTTTCCATAGTTTTGTGGTAAATGCAGTAAATAGCAATGTACTTCGAATTTACATTTTTTCCCTGTTTTTTACATTTTGTTTTGATTTTTTTACCCAAAAAAAACCGTATTCCCGTTACGTGCATTTTCCATTTTTAGGTATTAAATGCAGTAAAATAGCAACGTATTTTGAATTCACACTACACCCTGAAAAAAAAGGAACACAGCGCCAACGGCGCACCTAATTCCATCTAGTTAACAATCAAAGGGCAATGTTGTAAAACTCGTCGAGTTGGCCGATTACTCGGTTGAGTATTCCCTACTCGGCCCCATACCGATGCGAGTTACAGAATCAGAGTACTTCCCGATCGGCCCTTACTGAAACGAGCAGTGTTATAAAACTCGGCCAACTCAATGATTAATATGTATAATATACTTAATGATTTATTATTTAACAAACAAACACACATATGTGATTATCAATATATATATATATATATATATATATATATATATATATATATATATATATCTATATATATATATATATATATTAAATTTTTAGTAAGTATTCACGAAGTGAGACCATTATATGGTTTTAACTTATGATTTTGATATATATAATTTCCCTAAAAATATTTCAATATGAATTACCGGATCTGAGTACTTCCCGGGTACTCCCGAGCACTTGGTACTCGCTAGTCGGCCGAACAGGTACAAAGTAGCAAGTTCTACAACCATGAGCCCAACGGTATTAGGTGGTTCCCTTTCTTTTTGAGGTCGATAGTTCAAGTCTGGTGGTAGACATAGATAAAATTATGTGTTAGTTTAGGAGTAGATTATATATTTTTATTTACTGTTTAAAAAAAACAAATTAATAACTATACTTAACAATATATTTAATTTAATTCATATAGTATTAAGCGCCTTTGATAGCCACCAGCAATACTAAGTGTTATCTTTCTATTTTGATTTGAAATGAAGGGTTTAAATCCCAGATAAAACAAAAAATTAAATTATAAATAATTAAGAAATTAATTAATTTGTTCGTTCAAAAATATATTAACTAATGAAGTAGCAAATGCAATACCAAAGTGAATATGTGATAAGAAATGATATCCCATGGATATATAAAGACAAAGTTTAATTTCTTAAACTTTAAATAAAGAACAATAATAGGGTGGATATTAGAATTTCAGTCAAATCAGAATAAAACCGGTCAAGCCTTGAATGATGAACAATCAATGAAGTATTAAGTGTAAATATTAAAATAAAGTAAAGAGAATGAACAAAGAGAATAAGAGAATGACAGATATAATTCGTAATTGATAAAAGACATACATAATACATAGATTATAATCCTATTTATACTACCAGGAGCACAGTAGAGAAAAAAGACAATAAAATAAAATATAGAATACAGATCAACCGCCCGACAATGCGTTGCGGTTGATCTTGTCTCCTACTTCTCTTACAATTAACAAGACAAATAGTAGAAGACATAATATAATACTAGTCTTCTGTTCTCCGGACATTCTCTCAACTTTGGAGTCTACATCATCTCGGAACCTTTATTACTTTGGTTGGACAACAATCTCAAAAAACATCAATCTAGGATAACTCAAATGGTCACTTTCTTGAATTGGCCTCCTCGTCTACCGGGATTTGTTAGAAATATGCTAACTAATGTGTTGAATGTTTAATTCTGGTTTGGCACCAAATATATTGAATTAGAAATAGATTAAAGTGTCTCGGTTAAACATTCAAATAAATTAGCTAGAGAAAGATATCAATTTATCGTATAAATAAACTAACATTGAAAGGTATAAGAAGGAAATTTTCTTTGGGGTGGTATTAAGAATAGTAAGAAAATTCATTAGGTAGCTTGGGAAACGGTGACTAGACCAAAAAAGTTAGGTGGTTTTGGGGTCGGTTGTCTTAGATCGATGAATATAGCACTTGTTGCGAAATGGTAGTGAAGATTAAAGGCTGATTTTGGTTCTCTTTGGTCTTCTTGTATTAAAACCTTTCATAATTTTCTTGGTTCGGATGGAGAGGATTTTGCGACATGTGTGTTACCGGATGCTTGGCCTGATATTTATCAAATAAAATGGGAGCTTGAGGAGTGGAATATTTCTCTTGATGATTTTTTTTCGCAGGAAGTTGGGGGATGGGAAGAATACACATTTTTGGAAAGATAGATGGTGCGGTGATGTGATTCTTAAAAATGAATTTCCAAAATTATACAAAATTGAAAGAGACAAAAATTGTAAAGTTTCCTATAGGATTATTAATGATAATGGGGTTGTTTTTCATATTTTGTGGAGACGGAATCTGAGAAGAGGTAGAAAAGCTGATGAGTTGGAGGGGTTGTCAAATATGGTGGCTGGAATTGTTCTTTCCGGTTGCTTTGACTCGTGGGAGTGGGGTATTGGTAATTCAAAGTATTTTTCTGTTAAGTCTTTGAGAGATCCGGAGGCGTATAGTATGGAGTTTAATCACATTATATACGACTTTCATTGGGCGAATTATACCCCAATTAAAATTAACTGTTTTGTGTGGCGGGTGCTTTGCAATCGGATTCCGGTGGCTTGCAAGTTAGTGGAGAAATGTGTAAATTTAGTTTCGACTTTATGCCCTTTCTGTAGAGAGGTAGAGGAGACGGTTGAGCACATCTTTCTTAAGTGTTTTTTTTTTCTCATCAGATTTGGTCTTGGTTGGTTAGCTGGCGTAAATTGCTCCCCACGGTTCCCCAACCTTTTTGTGTGGAATGACATCTTTCTAACATACTTAATACAACCAAAGGGTTTTTGATATTTTATGTCTATTTAATGTGACTTATTTTAGTCTTTAATATTAAATATTAAAAAACTAATGCTTCTAAGATTTTACTCTTCAAAGCCTATTATCAAATGGTGTCCCGCAAGATAAAAAAAGATGTCCCACAAGTTCAAAATGAAATATAATTCTAGATATAATACTATTTGTTTTAATTTTATGTATTATAATGTGACATTTTTATTTAATGTTCTTGTTATTCTTTACAAATAATTTTTTATTTTTTATAAATATTATTTATATTTTAAAGTAACAATTTTCACAACGATGTAGTATAAAATATTTAATAAAGATGTAGATAAAATTAGTCAATTAGAATAGATGGCCAATGATTAAATAATCTTTGACTTATTTAATAAAGTTAGTTAAAAAAAATTTCACAAAACAAATTATACAGATTATGGATAAGATACTATATTATTAGAAGTGCATCAATTTTAATGTAAATAGTATCTCCAATATTCTTTATTAATTATGCTACAAACAGAGTATAAGAAAAACCTATTTGATTATTAATTAACAACGATCAAGCAAGAACATGGGCCTTTGATCAACAGGGAATATTGAGTCCCTAGCTTTGCCGACAAACCTAATCCATCGGACTCCAACCCTGGAAATGATCCGTCTCAGGTGACTTTGAAGTATTACTGGTATCCAAAGTTTCATTCAAGAATTTGCAGAAATCCGGCGACATCATGAAGGTCGGCAGGGGGCTCACCATTCCTCCATCCAGATCAGATTGCGGTGGAGCTAGTTTGGGATATAAGGATGGTTTTGGTATTGTAGAGAGATCTAGAGGTGGCGGAGCAATAGCTTTTAGGTAGCGTGGTGACGGGTTCTGAAACTCCGAAGAGCTAGTGAGCAGACGAACGACTTCTTTGAAATTGCATGAATCCACGTTGTAAACTTTAGGTGGGTTGGGAGCCATTGGTGCGATGAATGGCTTGGTGATGGGATTTTTAACATACGAAGATCTGTTGGATTTGGTTACTTTTTGTGGATGTTGATGTGAGTAAGAGAAAGAAGACGAAGATGAAGCATAGTAGCAGGAACTTTGATCCATCTTTAGGGTTAATGAATCGGTGTACTCTTTGTTTTATCGAGTTTGGGATACCAGGGAACTTCGGAGCTTGAGAAAGAGTCTATGGTCTACCAGGGAATCTTTGGATATTTATAGTGCAGTTTAGTTTGTCCACTCTTTGAAAATTTTAACCCATTAAAATATACTAAAGGAGTATTTGGGATAGCTTTTAAAAAAAAACATAATAAATGGTCCCTGTGGTTTCTCTACATCTGAAGTTGAGTCCCCGTGGTTTAAAAACATCATAGATAGTCCCTATGCTTTCAAAACTTTTGACGATAGGTCCTTATTGTTAACTCCGTTAAGTTTTGTCCGTTAACTGAATGACATTTTCGTTATTTCACTACCACAGGGACCATATATGATGTTTTCTCTTATTTAAAAAAAATGAAAAAAAGTGAAATAATATGTAAAGGGTCTCTCTCTCTCTCTCTCTCTCTCTCTCTCTCTCTCTCTCTTGCTAGTCATCCAATCTCTGCAAAATCTAGGGTTTTTGTTCGTCTTCGATTCCTTCTCATCCAACATCATACTTTATTCATCCATTAAACCACCTACCATTTCCGAAATCCTGTTGTGTTTCTTTTGATTTTTCTCTTATCTACGGTTTGTGCTCGCTTAATATATGCGACTTCTCGTTTCATCATCAATCGGGTTTTCTTTGGGTGATTTAACAGTTATGTTTAATACCTCTCTCACTCGATCATAGGTATCGATGTGCAACCGTCAAATCTGGTCAAACAAAGTCAACAAACGTCAAAAAGGTCAACTTAATTTGTATTAGAAATTTAGGATAATTATGATATCCCCTGATGTTTCTAATGTACTATTGACAAATCATAATACAAAGTACATCTCTGGATTGCCAATTATCAAATATAAACCCTAATTAGGGTTAGTAACGTAACAACTCGATAATTTCAGCTATATATTATTTGGGAATAAATAATACTCGTAACACGATGTAGTGAAGTTCATAAACCTAACACTGTGTGGCAAATTCATAGCAAAGGCTACAAACACAAATTTTTGGTGAATTCGTCACCAAATTTTTAACGAAACAAACTAGGAAATTCAACCTAACTTTCATGTAACATATTATTATTTTGATAATAATGTTTGTTATAATAATTTGAATTTTTATAATTCAAATTAAATATTGTATACATCCTTTATACCATATTTATTTTATAAAAACATCATCATTTTTATAAAAATATCAAGAGTTTATAAAGGTTTGACTTTTTTTTTAATAAAAAGTCATTAGTTATTAAGTTGTACCTTCATCTTAAATGGGCAACCAGTTAAACCTTAGAGTAGCTTACCATTAGTCTAATCCATGTCCCCCATACCAACCCCCCCCCCCACCCTCCTTCCCCCTCCCTCTTATACTTACGACCGAAAGGCCTTTCTTCACCACCATTCTCTTCGTTTTTCAACTTCTTCTTCAAAAAAGAGCTCTCATATTCCATAGCTAAAATCTTCCAAGTGGTTCTTCAGTTTTTGGATCTTCAAATCTTCAAGTGTTCTTCAAGTGCTCTTAACTTGAATCTTTCCATCTACAACCTCTTATCCACCAAGAAAACACACATAAGGTGAGTTCATACCCCTTCATTTTCAACTTTTTCATGTTTTAGGGGGAGAATACAAGTAAACTTGTATAAATATACAAGTTGTTATGCATGCTAACTTATATGATGTGTAAAGGTGCTAAATGCATGAGAAATAATGTTATTACCTAGCATATGAACATTTAGATGTAAAGTGGTTTAAAATACAAAACTATGAAAAACAAGTATAAACATGCTATATGTTCTTAAGAAAAAGTTATAAACACAAAACTATAAAAACTAGGGTTTTTATGAACCTAATATGACATTTCTAGCAAAAATGGTTATAACCATGTTATTACACCATTTTTGTGGGATATAAACCAAAATATGTTATTTCGAACATATTGCTTGAAACTAGTTAAAAATACCAAAGATTTAGTTTTACAAAAAGAAAACTTAAAAATCTATCATTTTATGTAAAAATGGATTTTCTAACAAAAATGGTCATAACTAGGTTATGGTACCATTTTTGTGGGTTTTGACCAAAAACATGTTGTTTAAAACATATAAAGTTACCTTGACTTAAATATCACAAAAAAGTAAAAATAAGTTTTACATAGTTATATTACACTAGTTACCGTTTGTGACGTTAAAATTAAAAAACTAGAAAGATTGACATTTTCATACTAAAGACTCACTTATTGTTGCTAGATGTAAAATACTTGTTATTTATGAATATCTAATCATGCTAGCCTCTCTCTCTCTCTCTCTCTATCTCTCTCTCTCCTCTCTCTCTCTATCTATATCTATATACTATCTATATATATATATATATATCTATATATATATATTATATATATCTATATATATAAAAACCAAATATTATAATAATCTATATAAGTATAGTTTAGAGTAAATTACACGAATGGTACCTATGGTTTAGTGTAATTTGTGTATTTGGTCCCTAACTTCTTTTTTTAACTCGGAAGGTCCTTATTGTTTGTTTTTGTTACGCGCTTGGTCCCTGTCTTACCTGAAAAGACTATTTTGGCTTTGATTTTTTAATTTATATTAAATAAACACACTCCCAAACCCACCCCTCACCTTACCTTACTTACCCCATCATTTTTCCATATTTAAATAATATTTTTTTTAGGTAAGACAAGGACCAAGAGCATAACAAAAACAAATTGTAGGGACCAAGCGCGTCACAAAAACAAACAGTAGGGACCTTCCGAGTTAAAAAAATAAGTTAGGGACCAAGCGCGCAAATTACCCCAAACCATAGGGACTATTCGTGTAATTTACTTTATAGTTTATGGGACATTAACACTATTGTGACATTTTTGAACAAGACAGATAATTATATAAAAGATTTATATAATTATTTTATACTATTTTATTATCATGGAAAATTGATAATTATACATACAAATGTTTTCATTACAACAAAACGTAAACGCGTTGGATCAATTTTTGTGACTCAAAGTCTTCATCGTACCTACCAGAGTACCTACAAAAGTCATGTATTATAACCAGAATCTCTTTTAAGAGAGCATGATACTCGTGGATAGATCTATACGGGACTGACAATCCCGCACCTAAGCTGCTTGCAACAGCTAGACCGGCAGGTCTGGGGTGACAAATGTCTAACATCCCGACGCTTGAAGAACGTCGTAACAGGCCATCTATGTTTTAGCACGGTTATAATAACTCAAATGGGGAAACCAACGATACATTTAGTTTATAGGTAAACATACATTCAAATGGTTTTATATAAGATTAAAACTACATATTACTATTTTAAGTATTAAAATACTTGTACATTTCGGTCTTAGGGCTTCTAGGACTACAACCATTTTTAAGAAAAATTTTGGATTTTCTGTAAACGAACACTATCATTTTACAAGGAAAGACTTACAATTCTTCATACAAACTCTTATGAACTCACCAACTTAATTGTTGACACTTTTCAAAACTACTTGTATTCTCAGGAAATCATTAAAGCAGGTAATTACAAGCTTTTGAGGATGGGACGCTAAGGCGTCAATCGAATCTTTTTATCATCATATTGTAATTGATTTTGAAACATGCAACTCTTACAACAATGTAAAATTTTCAATTATATTTATGATGGTTGTGTTTTGCTTTGATCACTATTATACATATTGTTGTGATACGATTCATGAAAGTCATCCACCCCCAGACGTTTCCACCATCCTGGTTTGGGGGTGTGACAGTCGCTTTCATGCTTGTGATTAAGCTTAGAAATCTCCATTTGTTTGGCCCTGGGTTGAATACTTTCGCTGCATACAACATGGATAATCACTTCTCTTGCTAATTCTCTCTTTTCGCTGGTTTAGTTACTTAACCTGAATATATATGAAATAGTCGTAGAATCTGGCGTTGATGTGTATATATTGAAGAATGATCAGATACTTTTCAGGCGTCGCCGCTCCTCTTCTATTGGTGCCTACACCTATGCCCTCCCCGTCGACCACCTTGAGTTCGGTCAGTTCTCCTCCCTTCACCCTTTATCACGCTTTACACTAATGTATACTGATGTGTTATCTTAATGGTCATCAATGTTACCCCTTTGTTTTTTCTATATTCTCATTTGACCTTTGTTTCAAAGGATACATGGAAATCAATATATTCCATATAACCTTTTCTTAAGTTCTGATAACTTTTCCCCCCAAATCCGAATGACGATTGGAGAAAGTCGTTGGATCAACACCTATAAATCAATTGCATATAGATGTGAACAATCTGTAAAGCAGGGTAAGGATTGATAAACATGTAGTGATTTGGTTCAAATGGAAGAGCAGGTGAAAGCTTTGAGGAATATGCAACAAGAGAGGTGAAAGGAAACAGGACTAGAGATCAAGAACAAAGAGTTTTTAACAACCAACAGTTTCGTTCATTCTGATAAAGTGCATCTTGTTGCAGTTTTCATGCGTGCACATCTTTCAGACCTGAACAAACTCTTCAAAACCTCAAGCCTGATAAGTGTGAAGGTTGGGTTTGGCATTACTTGAAAAGTATCCCTAAACCATGTTTGGACCACTGAGAACAATGTTGGATGGTGGCTTCAATCCTTTCACTACCAAATCAAACAGATGATGAAGTTCGGTTTTTTCACTTGATGTATGCAACTTTTTAGCATAATGATAAAGCTTGTTGCTTGTGTAATTAATTATGAATAACACTCTGATTGATCTCAATATACTTCATATATTCATTAGTGATCTTAGCATGTTTGAAAAGGTGTCAAATCCTTTGGTAGTTTAGGAGAAACATTAAAGTTAATATAATTTGGGGTAGACCTTTGTTAGCCAGGATTTTGTTTTTCCTTCAAGTGCAATGTTGTGGGTATGTTTGTGTGTTTTTCCTTTAATTACAGGTTAAGAAGAAGGGGCAGAGAAAAAGAGA